ACCAGTTGGTTGACAAAAATATTGGTCAGTTTCAGTTCATTTTTTATCATTATGAGTCCTAATTTTGGTCCTTGTTCACATGCCTTGGTAATGATAAATTTCACCATTTTGGAAGCTATTTTTGTATTCTTATAAAATATTTTTGAGCCTTGTTCTGACATATTACTTACATTTTCCGGAAACACATCTCTCCTTTTGGGTCATGTTTTAAAGATAGACTAGATGTTACCAGAGCAGAATTTAGTCTGTAGTTCATTAATCCCCACTACTGAAGCAAGACCCTTCTGAGTACTCTATACAGTACCTCATGAATCTTGAGGTTTTCCAGTCTGGCCGGTGGGAACAACAAGCCCTGTTCTGGCTTTATGTAGCCTAGGGCACTATTGCCTCTAATCCTCTCAGATGTTCTTTCCCCTGCAGGGAATGGTTTACTCACACTTGTGCACCCAGTACTCAACTGACTTTCTGAGGAAGACCTTCTGCAGTTCTCCAAAATTTTCTTTCTTTGCAGCTGTTTTTTTCTCTAATAGGCTCTCCTGTGAATTCCAGCTGCTTTGGTTTCCCCACACTCTATCTCTGCCTCTCAAATTGTGGAGTCAGCTGGGCTCCTCCTAGATTCTTCCCTTCCTGTACTATCTTCTGGAAATAGTTTCAGTGTAGTAAGCTGGGCCAATCATAGGGCTCAACTCATTCTCCCCCACCCCCGCCTCAGGTTACTGTTTGTTTTTTTCCTTATAGCCTTGAAAGCTGTCACCCCATATATTTGTCCACTTTAAAAAGCTGTTTTAAGTGGAAGCACAAGTCTCTGTTGCTTAAAATTTAATCTTAACATATACTCCCAGAAATTTTATCATACATGCTAACTTTTTTCTACTCTTAATAGTTTTCTTTAAATCAGTTCAATTTTTTAACTAGATAAATACATTATTTAAAAAAATTATTTAAGGGGTGCCTTGGTGGCTCGGTCGGTTGAGCATCTGACTTTGGCTCAGGTCATGATCGCGCAGTCGTGAGTTTGAGCCCCATGTCGGGCTCTGTGCTGACAGCTTGAAGCCTGGAGCCTGCTTCAGATTCTGTGTCTCCCTCTACTCTGCCCCTCTCCCACTCCTGCTCTGTCTCTCTCTCTCTGTCAAAAATAAATAAACATTTAAAAAAATTTTATTTTAAATAAAAAAAATTATTTAAGTTTATTTGTTTATTTTGAGAGAGAAAGCATGAGCAGGGTAGGAGAAGAGAGAGAATCCTAAGTAGGTCCCACACTGTCAGTGCAGAGCTCGACACAGGCCTTGAACTCATGAACCGTGAGACCGTGACTTGAGCTGAAATCAAGAGACTTGGATGCTTGACCAACTGAGCCACCCAGGCACCCTGATAAATATATTACTTTTAATGTAATCTTTCTTATTTAGTTTTAACATCTAAACATAAAAGCTCACCAGTAACTCCACAGTTTTATGAATCTCAGAAAGTATGAACAAACTGTATAACCAGCACCCAGATCAAGAAATCAAGTGTTACCAGTATTCCAGAAGTGTTCCTCATCTTCCCTTTCAGTACTACCTCCAAAAGGTAATCATTTATTTTTGAGAGAGAGAGGAAGACAGAGTGTGAGCAGGGGAGGGGCAGAGAGAGGGAGACAGAGAATCCCAAGTAGTCTCCAGGCTCTGAGCTGTTAGCACAGAGCCTAACATGGGGCTCCAATTCAGGGACCGTGAGATCATGACCCAGGCCCAAGTTGGATGCTTAACCGACTGAGCCACCCAGGTGCCCTCCAAAAGGTAATCATTAGCCTAAGTTTAATAACTAGGTCATTCTTTTGTGTTTTTGAACTTTAAATGAAATAATAGAAAGTTACTTTTCTTTTTTTTAAATTTTTGTTTCATTTATTCAATTTTTGAAAGACAAAAGGAGACTGAGCACGAGCAGAGGTGGGGCAAGAGAGGGAGACATAGGATCCGAAGCAGGCTCCAGACTCTGAGCTGTCAGCACAGAGCCTGATGTGGGGCTCGAACTCACAGGCCGAGAGATCATGACCTGAGCTGAAGTTGGACACTTAACCTACTGAGCCACCCAGGTGCCCCAGAAAGTTACTTTTGTGTGGCATCTGGCTCAACAGTGTGTTTGGGTAACTTAGAGAAATTCAAAATTTAATTAGACGTGAAATTAAATGCCACTAGGAGAAATTATAGGCCTAATGTGCCAGCTCTGTTTTTGTAATATACATTAAAATGATACATAACTTAAAAACATGTTTCACAACCTGTATTTTATATAATATTGTCCTAGAGGGAAATGGTGGTAGGTGAGGCTGGGAAGATAAGCCAGAATTATACTCTGGTTTTCCTTGAATGCCAGGCTGAGAACTTCTTTGCTTTGAAACCTGTGTAGCAGTAGTGAGAAGAGTAACCTGTTTATCATAAGGTTTTAAGATCATACTACTGATAGATTGAGAGATGGCTTTAGTGAGGTCACCTCTTCTATTTTTCTGTTCTCTAAAATTTATTCAGTACATGCTTTAATTCTTTGGTTCTATTATTTTACCCTTTTTGTTATGAATTGAATCCATTTTATTAAGAACGCCGTAGTTCAGGATTTCATTATTTCCTATCTGGACTGTTACACATAATGTAAGATTGGGTCAGGGGACGCATGCAATCCAAACTGCAACTTTCCACTGACCCCTGCATCTTCCTTTGTATGCTTATTAGTAGGAGTTTCCTTCTAAAGTACAGATCTGGAGCCTTGGGTGGTTCATTCAGTTGAATGTCCAACTCTTGATTTCAACTCAGGTCATGGTCCCAGGGTCTTGGGATCAGCCCTGCCTTAGGTTCCATGCTGTGCATGGAGCCTGCTTAGGATTCTCTCCCGCCCCCCCAACCCCATGCCCTCTTTCTCTCATTAATCAATAAATCATGCACAGATATGATCAAATTGTTCCCATTCTAGAGATCCTTTAGTGTAATATCTAAACTCTAGGATGGCACATATATTTACTTCTAGGCAGCTTAAACTTTCAGGGAATGGACCTTTTACATGGGTTATTCGTGTGAATTCTTGCTTCGACTATTCCTGTAGTCTCCTAACTGGTCTCTGCGTCTACACTTGCCCATGTGCAGACTATTTCTGACCTAGAAACCAGAACTCCACTACATAAATGTGATGCTTTTATTTCCCTGGTCCGAACACTCCAGTGGCTACCATCACAGTTTAGATGATATCTAAAATCCTTGCAATGGATTACAAGGCCCAGTGTGATCTTTCAGAACTCTCACTGTCTCTCACTGTGTTCCGGGTACATTGTCCTTGATGCCGTTACTGTAGTACTTTCAGGGCCTTTGTATTACTTTTTCTTCTGCTTAGTCTGCTTTCAAATATATACATATATAGCTTCTCTTCCTTTATTTACATGTGCTGAAATGTCATTTATTTGAAAGGCTCTTTTCTGGCCACCCTTTCTAAATTAGTTTATTCTTTTCCCATCTGCCAAATCACTCTTTTTCTCTCTCACACACCCTTATTTTCCTTCAAAGCCTTTACTACTATCTGTTTCTCTCTCTAAATCTATTTATTTTTGGGCCTTTTTTCTCTCTACTGTCTGTCTGTCTGTCTGTAATAGAATGTATACATCTCCAGAATGGTAATAACTCTTAGACCATTATAGTCATATTACTTAAAATTGGATGGATGACTGTCACAGGAATTTGATAATATTTGATGAAAGATTAAATGAATGTGAGTGAGTGAATGAATGGATGGATGAATGTTTTTCTCTTCCCATAGGGTCACCTTCTTGGACATAGTTTTGACTTTAGCTTTGCCATTATATGTTCCATTTTATATTCTATTATGGGAAAGGTATAGGTGACTTATTCTCAGGGTTTGTTTCTTTTCTACCACTTATAATTTAAATAATACAAAAATAACTCTTGATTATGCATTAATCTATGACAAATGTTAGCAAAAACCAAATGCTTTGTGAACTAAAAGAATATTTCAAACATCTTTTCTAAGTTTATTTTGTGATTTGACTGTAAATAAAATTTGGTTTAGTGACCTAGGTATTTAAGCCCCTTTTTCTCTAACATTGCAGTGATATTTTAAAAGTTAAATAAGATTTCAGGTAGAAATTATGCTTGAGAAATGACAATTTCAGGTAACATCAAAGCTTCCTATATAGTGCTGCACAAATCTAGATGATGCTATTTGTATTATAATCTATATAAATGGTGCTCCCTGGAGATATGCAGTGCTAAAGAGCACAGCTCTGCCCCTGTTTGCTTTTCCTTGGTCCCATTTTCTTTGCTTTGCTTTTCTTCCACTGTGCTAGTGAGGTAAGTATTATCCTGAGTTTGATTATCATTTCCATGCTTGTTTTAATATTTTTACTAATTGTGTTTGTCCATAAATAATAGAGTTGTTTTGCCTTGCACCTCGCAATTTTTGCCACAATTTTATTTTTGAAATGTGTCTCTATGTCCATAGCTAATTGATTTTAAATGTTGTGTCATATTCCATTTTAGTAATTTATTTATCCCTGCTCCTGTTATTGGACATTTGGGTTATTTCTAAGTTTTTGGTATAACATAATGCTACAATAAGCATTTTAATACATGTTTTCTTGTGCTCATGTGCAAGAATTTCTCTAGGCTGCATACCAAAGAGAAGAGTTCCAGGTTATAGGCTAGGCAAATCTTAAACTGTAATAAGTATTGCCAAATTGCTCTTCAGATGGCTGTAGAAATATGTACACCTGTCTGCAGTATACGTGTGAGTTACCTTTATTTCACAAGCTCCCAGTATTTGTTATTGTTTGACCTCTTTAATTTGTGTTTCTACAGGTAGGAAATATATCTCAATTTTACAGTAGCTTTTAAAAATAATGGTTTTTCAAGTGACTAATTGACTTAATTAGTAAAATAAAATTAATTTTGCTTTTTACTTTTGCTAAAAGTGGCATTTTTTATTTTCTGTAATTAATTATGGATTATATATTTTGGTAGCTCTGGTTGAAGAAGTGTATTTTGCACAGAGGGAACGTGATGAAGCTATTATGTCTCGACTGCAGTTAGCCAATGAGGAGAGAGATGAAGCAATTGCACGAGTGAAGCATATGGAAATGTCTCTAAAAGTGTATGTATACATTTGAAACTATTTGTGACTTTTGGAGCATTATAAAATGCATGCATTTTGTGGTAGTACATATTCAGAAAGTTACTGACTCTTTTTTTTTTTAATTTTTTTTTTCAACGTTTTTTATTTATTTTTGGGACAGAGAGAGACAGAGCATGAACGGGGGAGGGGCAGAGAGAGAGGGAGACAAAGAATCGGAAACAGGCTCCAGGCTCCAAGCCACCAGCCCAGAGCCTGACGCGGGGCTCGAACTCACAGACCGCGAGATCATGACCTGGCTGAAGTCGGACGCTTAACCGACTGCGCCACCCAGGCACCCCTGAAAGTTACTGATTCTTATATGGTACACTAGTAAATTCCATATCCCCACAGTCTTTCTGAAACTTTTGACATGCTGTGTAGTAGTTTGCATGTCAGGAATAACAGTCACCAAAAAAAAAAAGAGAGAAGAAGAATGTACTCTGTACAATTACTTTCTTTACTTTCATAGTCTATTGTTGATATCCTTACCTGATCTTCCTTTGTGATGCCTCTTCCCTCTCTTATTATCGCTTTCTTGATTTATTTCAAATGTGTGGGTTTTTTCACTGCTCTCTGCTTAATATGCTCATTCCTATTCTTGACTACTTTTGACTTTATTAGGTGTGTCATAAACTTTAATGACACCTGAAATAAGGTGGAGCCTGAGAATTTACACTTTTTTCCAGTATTTATTTATTTTTATGAGAGAGAGAGAGACAGAAAGAGGGAGAGAGAGAGAGACAGAGAAGCCCAAGCAGGCTCCGCCTTGTCAGGAAAGAGCCCATTGCAGGGCTCAAACTCATAAATCTTGATGTGAGATCATGACCTGAGCTGAAATCAAGAGTTGGATGCTTAACCCATTGAGCCACCCAGGTGCTACTGAGAATCTACATTTTTAACAAGCACCAGGTGACTCTGACATAGGTAAATAATGGACCACACTTAGATAAACAATGTTCTAGAAATAAGTAATTCTCCAATTTTAATGTGACTTCAGTCACTTGGGAAATCTTGTTAAAATGCTCATTCTCATTCAGTAAGTCTGGAGTGGAACTTAAGATTCTGTTTTTCTTCAAGCTCCCTGATAATATAAATGATGCTACTTTAAAGAGTCAGAAGTAGGTAAAGGCCCTAGAGTATCTAGAAATATGTTACTTGTAAGATAGGTACAATGTAGTAATGTAATATTTTATGATGATCCATCAATATACTTATTGAGTGTTTGCTCTGCCCAACACTGTGCTAGACTCCGTGGAGGATTACAGTAAAGTACTAATTAAAACATTGTTCATTAGGGAGACAAAAAGTCATTAAATAATTAACATGACAGTGTTCAAGTTGTGATTAGGTAATGTGGTTTGTTTTTTGTTCAGATTAATCGCTTCATTTTTTTTTTTTTGAAGACTGATAGACACTCCTTAAAAGACATTAAACTCATTGAATAATAGACATAAAGAAACCAAAAAAAAAAAAAATCATCTGAATTCCCCACTGCCTACTCCCAAATAACTATTTTTATTAATAGAGAAACATCATCCCAAACATTTCTCTTTACTTATATAGTTAAACACTATCATCTACAAGAATGAGTGGTTGGTAGTTAAATGGATATATACGTAGTATTAATTTGATAAAAATCAAATCATTCTTTACATTACTATTTTATTTGAGAGGCAATATAATGTAGAGTTTAACAGCACAGATTCCAGATCCAGGCATTTGTATTTGAATCATGGCTTTTTTACTTCCTAGCTGTACAGCAGTGGACAAATTACTCAGAGTCTCTGGACTCGGTTTTTTTGTCAACAAATGGGTAAATATTGCCTATTTTGTATAAGTTCTTATAAGAACTAAATGATTTAGTAAATATTGAAAAGTACCTGACTCATAGCTCGTGCTATGTGTTACTTGAATTTAGGAGTAATAATCAATTGAAGTGAAACTAAAGAAATTTTTGAACTTCATGCAAAGTTTTCTTTTTTTTTTAAATTTTTTTTAAAACGTTTATTTATTTTTGAGAGAGAGAGACAGACAGAGCCTGAGCGGGAGAGAGGCAGAGAGAGAGGGAGACACAGAATCTGAAACAGGCTCCAGGCTCCAAGCTCCAAGCTGTCAGCACAGAGCCTGATATGGGGCTTGAACTCATGAACTGAGAGATTATGACCTGAGCCCAAGTCAGTTGCTTAACCAACTGAGCCACCCAGGTGCCCCAAAGTTTTCTTATAATAAGATATATTAACTCCCCAAAGATCCTTCGGAATGTAAGAAAAGAGACTGAAAAACATTAAGGTATTGGAAGCATCAATTCTTCTTTTCACTTTTTTGAAACATGCAGTGATTAAACAATATCCTTTGACTTTCAGCTATGAAATAAGTTTTAAACTCTTTTTTACTTTGTCTTTATAAATTCTAGTTTTAAAATATTTATGAAAGCTGTATTAGATTCGGTAGCCAAATTTCCTTTTATTTAATTTTGATTTTATATTTAAAAGTATTGAATAATCATTACTACAACTTTTGTGATACATGATGTTTTTACACCTGATTTCTTTATTTTGGGGAATCCCTTGGTAACTGAATTTCACTGTCAGTTTTTTGAGGAAGGGCTAATAAGTACTTTATTCTTAGATTCAGTATGCTTCAGACTGGCTTTGTGTTACCCTTATATTCAAATTGGTTCTGAATAAAATTATTGGGTTAATTTTTTTTTTTTTGACTCTATGCAATGTACAAAAGTCCATCTTGTGACACTAGTTTGTCTAAAAAGAAGTCAGGTCACAGGTGTTTTTTCCTCACTTATTTTTGGCTTGTGTTTTTGTTTTGTTTGTTGTTTTTTCCTGCCTGGATACCTAAAGGATTCTTTGTTCTTGAAGTAGAACTTAATCATGATGTTTGTGTTGATTGTTCTTTAATAACGTTTTGGAGACCCACAGCATGCCTCTCTAGGAACTATTTGATTCATCTTTTAGTTCATGGAAATTTTAGATTTGTGAATTTTGTATTCTATTTGTTAGGTTGTTTTAGAAACTATAGTTATTCTTGTAATGGGGCATTTTTGTCTTTATGTATTATCTGTTCAATAATTATTTGTATCCCTCTTTTTTTCTCTGTATTCACTGTGATAATCTCACAATTTTTCTTTATATTAGTAGTTCCAATTGTCACTATTCCTATCCCTGTGTTTTATAGTTCATTTATTAAATTTTTACTTATTTGTTTGTTTGGTTATGGTTCTCAGTACGTTTCCTTAAGTTTTCAACTTCCCTTTTCATTCACTTTATGTTTTGGCATTTTCTCCATGAACTTTATTTTATCGAATTCATGTTCTTATATTCTTTTAAAATACCAACCATTGGAGGTTCCTGGTGGCTCTGTTGGTTAAGCATCCCGCTCTTGATTTTGGCTCAGGTCTTGATCTCATGGTCATGGGATCAAGCCTTATGTCAGACCCTGCTGAGCCTGGAGCCTGCTTGAGATTTTTGTCTCCCTCTCCCTCTGCCCCTCCCCACCTATCAAAATAAACATTTAAAAATAAATAAATAAATAATAAAATACCAACCATTGGCAGGAAGATTTTCTTTCTCTTGGTTTATGTTATTTTTTATATTATGATTTTTTTTAATTTCATTTATTCGTTTTGAGAGAGAGTATGAGTGGGGGTGGGGCAGAGAGAGAGAGAGGGAGGGAAAGAATCCCAAGCAGGCTCCACACTCTCTGTGTAGAGCTCGATCTCATGAACCGTGAGATCATGACGTGAGCAGAGATCAAGAGTTAGACACTAAGCCACCTGAGTTACCCTGGTGCCTGTTACGATCCTTTTTTTCTTATGGATTTGTAGTGTATATTTATAATTGCCATGTCATTTCTCTTCATCTTGCTCATGTATAAATTGTCAAGAACTTTTCTTTGTTCTGATATAGTGCAAGTGAATTTTCCTTCATAAACATTTCACATTGTTTGAAATCTATTTGTCTTCTTCTCAGAGCTACAGTTTCTTGGCAAGGTACTGCTTTTTGGCCACCTGTCTATATAGCCCTCTGGCAACGTGGTAGGCGGAATAGAGATTGGGAAGATCTCCCTGGGGATGTATACCCTTTTATTGGAGGTTCTGTCCTCTGCTTATGGGATTTTGTTTGGTGTGTTGCAGTATACCAAGGGTTCATTCTGCCTGGTTTTGTGTAAATCCTAATTCCATGGAGTATTACTTTGAAGCTTTTATTTGTTTTACCAGTGTAGTAGAAAATGGCAGCCCTTGTGCTTCTTGCTTCCTTTGTAAAGATTCTTCAGTAACACAGGCTTCTATTCAGGAAGGATTTTACTTTTCTCTGGGTTGTCTAATCAACTTATTGTTCTCTTAGGTTATTTCCAAGTTGTGTATTAGTGGAAGTCTCAGGATTTGGTGAGCTCACTCCTTTTCTCCATACCTGTTTTTATGTGTAAAAGGAAAAGTTAGGTGAACTTGACCAAAATCATCATTTCTCTACCCTGCTTTAAAAAATTACTTTGTGATAGTCCCTGGGTGGTTCCGTCTGTTAAGCATCTGGCTCTTGATTTCAGCTCAGGTCATGATCTCATGGTTCATGAGATTGAGCCACACAATGGGCTCTGCGCTGACATCATGGAGCCTGCTTGGGATTCTCTCTCTTTCTGTCTCTAAAAATAAATAAACTTTAAAATAAAATCTTAAAAAATTACTATGTGATGTCCTACTTTCTTTACTGTTTGATTAATTTTTTTTTCTGTTCATGTGGTTATATGATGGGATAAACAGATGTCTGTTCAGATTTCACTACACTAACTTTACTGATCTTCTTTTTTATCTTATCCCAACAGACCTCTTATTTTAGAGTACTTTTTTAAAAATTTTTTCTCAATGTTTATTTATTTTTGAGAGACACAGAAAGACAGTGTGCAAGTGGGAGAGGGGCTGAGAGAGGGAGATAGAATCCGAAGCAGGCTCCAGGCTCAGAGCTGTCAGC